TCTAAATGCTTGGCCTCTTAAGAAGATTAAAAGCTCCTTCTATCAACACACGATGAAAATTTTGCTATTCGTAACAGTGGAGCCATAATTTCTCTCTTTTGTATGAGGTGTCAAAAAAAAAAGCAGTGATATCTGTCCAGCTCTCTGACCCCCTGCCTGCCATCCAGACAGTCAAGAAGAAATATCCAGCAAAGTGCCTAAGGGACCTGCCCAAGCAGTTTTCTCAGGGCTGACTGCCACTGGGCTGCTTTTGTGCTCCCCACCAAGCCTCATCCAGTGCCTCCCTGAACCCCACTTACCCCCAGCCCCAGGGGGACACAGGTGCCCGTTCCCACACTCGAGTGACAAGCATGGGATGTTAATGCCCTAAAAACTGTGGGAAAGCCCTAAAAAGTGTGGGAAAAGCTTCCAGGAATAAAAGGCTGGGAGATGAAGCAAGTGGAGGTCCCCAGAGCCACCTCCGGCATGAAAAACTCAGAAGAAAGCAAGAGGTCTCAGCCTCACCCAGCTCTCAGATGTGGGTTTAGTCCTTAACTGCAATTAAATGCATTTTCAGTCAGCTGCTTGTTGTGGTGGTTTTGGTATCTGTCCGGTCCCTTTTCAGCCTTGTTTAAGTTCTCAGCCTCAACAACTTCCTGCAGCGCTGAATTCTGCAGCTTAATTAAACATTGCGAGAAAAAGTACTTCCTCTGATCAGGTTTGAATTTCCTGCCCTGTCAATCCCAGCACGGGAAGAGGGATGGTCTGCGCATCCCGATTTAACTGCCTCTGGGGTAATGGGGTTCAACTCTGGGAGATGCTGGTGAGACCCAGCGGCTGAGGCGCTGAAAGCTTTGGCAGATGATTTGTTCCAACTTGTCAGGAGCTCGTCCTGGTTCTCTGCTTTCAAGGTGGACGGACACATCAAAGCGAGACGGCGGTGAGCGCCTGCGGACTTTGGGCTGGTTATCTGAGATCTGCTGCGATCTTGGTTTGGCTGCGGCAGCTCCTCTAATTCTCATGGAGCACCTTGAGGAATTACAAACAGCTCGAAGGGAAACAACGCGATTTAAAAAAAAAAAAAATTCCTGTGGTCCAAACAAATATGTGTTTCCCTGTTGCTATTAATATCTCAGACCTTGATCCTCCTCCAGATACTCATGCATGTGTTTAGCAGCTTGCAAATGAGCAATCCCTTTGATTCTGGAGTGGGAACATTTTCTGGGATCGCAAATTATTAAAGGTGAAAGATGCTTTCCAATGCAACACGCTGACTGTGTTCTCCAACATGCTTGATTGCCTTCCTGGAGTTTCTCAACCTGGCCATGAAAAATTAATTTCAGAGTTTGGAGGGGAGTAACGCTTGTTTTATGCAACACCTTTGGGCACAAACTCAGTACTTTTTTCTAGACGTGAATTTTAGTGCAATAAACCAGACGTTCCATTCTGTCTGCAGTTCTGGGAAGCTTTTTCTTTTGCAGATCTCTCTTTTGGGGCCTGTCCAAGCTCCCGGTCTTTTCTCTGCAGCAGCACTATTGCAGTTTGAAGGTATTGCTGCATTTGCTGCCATCTAATGGGAGAATCAGCCTTGGCCATCTCTATTTTGCAAGCAAATAAAAATGTTTTCCTGCACAATCTTGCTGCCACTCGGCAAAGCAGCATCTTCCACACATAATCCCAGCAAATTTCGGCAAAGGGAAGAGTTTATTTGTCGGATGGCTTCAGTGTACATGCAGCTGGGTGGTTCTGCAAAGTGTCACGCAGCTATGAACCGTTGTGGACCCAGTAAAAAGAACATTTTGGGGTTGATCAGGCTGAAATGGTGCTTCTCTTATCATGGATCAGACTTGCAAAGTGTGCTTGGATTGATATTATTTTAAGATACAACAGCAAAGCAGAAATCATAAAGATATACAAACAAAAAAAAAAAAAAAAAAA